TTTTTTTTTTTTTTTTTTTTTTTTTTTTTTTTTTTTTTTTTTTTTTTTTTTAATTCAGATTATCATTACATAACAATATATGAAGATTTTTTTTTTATGAATTTAACCTAAAAAAAATAAAATAAATAATAATAATAACATCTGCGGTTCTAGGTTTGAGAAAAGGGGGAAAGCAAAAATCGAAGGTACCTAGGGGAGGAGGAGAGCATTATAATCTTGTGGAAGAGGGCCGGGCGAGTGATGGAAGCGATGGCGCCGATCATCGCCGAAACAGAGTGGCCGACGAACACACACGAATCAATTCGAAGCTCCTCGAACATCGCCAGCAGATCGTACGCGAACCCTTCCAGACTTCTGTAGCGCTCGAAGTCGAAATAATCTGGATTGGTAGTCCCGGCGCCCATGTTGTCGTACAGAACCACCTTGTAATCCTCCACCAGATGCGGGATCAGGTGTTTCCAGACCGATTGATCGGTGCCGAATCCGTGGCCGAGAACCACCGTCTGTTGGCCGTCTCCGATGATCTTCACATTTTGAGCCTCCTCTACGATTCCCATGGCAAACTGAAACCGGGATCGAGCAACGGAGAAAGTGTTGCGTTTGGGATTTTTTTTTTTTTTTTTTTTTTTTTTTTTTTTTTGAATTTATTGCATATTATAGTCTTTCTGAAAGATAAGACCGTGCGCCCGGGTTTTCATCACCTGCTGCCGATACTATTATACATACATCATAAAATAGCATACATACATACATCTAAGACTTTGGACATAACATGCATGTCAAGATGTCATACAATATAACATACATCATTCAATTTATCCCGATCTATTATATAATATCTAATTGTAAGTTCACTCGATTGAGTAGCACTAAAAGTTTTTTATAATCCAGTTTTTGAAGCTACACAAATCTCAACGAACCGTTGTTTTGCATTTTGTAATGCCCAATTGTAGTAAAAACAGAAAATTTCATGGAAGGTCCTTAATTCTTGCTTATTTACCAGAGTTGTTGTAGTAGGGTCGTAGGCATAATCATGCTTCGTGTGTATTGTGTTAAAGGAACAAACAGAATTAGAGATGTTTTTTTTTTCTTTAATTTAGGTTTGCCCGTCTATCAAAAATTTGAAAAGGTATTTTAATGGGTCTTATCATGCTTGATTTGAGGTCACAAGGAAAGTCTATCAATGTGATATTGTGCTCGACAAAGTACTTCAAGAAGTATTGATAATAAGTGGCATAGCTCCGAGAGATTATCCTAACTCTACTTTATATACACATTTAAAGGAGATAACCAGTCTCTACTATTTGACATGCTATTGAATAAAAGATTGATATAACATAATTCTTGTTTGACCAGGAAAACATAAATTCAAATTCCGAACATTATACCCTAATTGTTGTCGGTTGATGGGAGGAAAGGTGTTTGTCACCTGTTTTTTTTTCCCTTGGCTTTACCAAAATCTCACACCTTCATCATCACATCCACCTCACTCATTTCCCTCTTTTTCTTATTTCGATTCCTTTCCCTCTCACCCCAACTCAAATTCTCCATCGTTCGAACTCCCAAAAGTCAACTAATTCAAAAAGAAATTGGGTTATAAAAATGTGGTTCATAAGTTTTTTTACCACTAAATTGGATTAAACCCACCTGCCTACGAACCCTTCTAACAAGAATCAATTTTTGCAACTATGTTTCTTATTAGGGTCTCGATAAGATTCATCCCATCGTTTAGTTCATCTAAATTTAAAAATGAAAAAGGTTTAAAACACTACAAGTGAATTGAAAAGGGTAAGTGGGAAGGAATAATTAAAGTGGTACAAGCATGGTGGTGGGGGAAGAAGTAAGTAAAAAAAAATGGGGTCAAGATGAGTGTTGGTCAGCAAAGGTTGCATGCGAGAGCTGCTTTAGCCATTCAAATGTTCGACGATGTGACAGCCTCGTCGCCTTTTCCTTTTCCTTTTCCCTAATTTCAACATTATCGTTCAATTCATTTTCCCTAATCCCAATTCCCTTTCCCTTTTCATTCCTTTTCTTCACAATATTCCCACTCCAATTCTTTATCTTCTTCGCCGCCGGTATTGTATCCACTGATTTTTTGCAGCTCACCACACCCAGAAACGTGCCTCTTGTTTTCTGCCCCACCGTGGGTTCCGCCTCGAAAGCGGCGCCGTTGGTCGTGCGAGTTTTGAGGTCGTGAAGTTCCATTCCCGGCGTTCGGAGAAGACCCACCCGGAAAAAGTCCCAACGGGAGGAGCTCCGGCGCCCGAAAGTTGAAAAGGATCTGATTTGGGGCGTGGGACTTGGGTGAGAGTGGAAGACGTTATTTTGAGTTCTTGGCTTTGAGTTCGTCGGAATTGAGATGGAATTGTTACTAATACTTGAACACCTGCAATTCAAAATATTTCATCAATTATTTTTAAAAAATATATAATGGAAATCGTGATTACTTTATTTCAATTATAAATTTTATTAATATTTTTAACAATTCTTTTAAAAAATATCTATAAACTTGGGTTGGAGAGAAGAATAAAAACATCCTCAGACCCATTTTAGAGATAATGATCCAAAGACAATATCTATTAGCAGTATATTGGATCGTTACAATCTTCTATTCTCATAAAAAAAATCTGATTCTCGTCTTGAATTTTAAAAATAATAACCCAAATATTTAAGGGTATTAAGGTTAACGATAAACATATTTTTAAAAAAATTAAAAATATTAATAAAACTTTTCAAAATTCAATTTTTATAAAATTAACAGTTTTAAAAGTTAAAACAATATATATTTTTTTGTGGGAAAGTTTTATTTATTTATTTATTTATTATTATTAATTTAACTTTTTATTTTGTGCAACGGTAATATATTTTGAGGTTTGAATTTGGGTTGGATTTTGGCGATTATAATTTAAAAAATATCCAAGTTTCAAAAAAAATAATTAATTGAAATGGGAAGAAATTAAAAAAGCATACCTGGAATAATGACTTCTACTGCTATTGCTACTGCTACTACTTCCATTTCTAAACCTCAACATATTATGATCCATAGACTCCGACCTGGAAAATTAAAAAAAAAATAAAAAAAATAGAATAAAATAAATCTGTGAAAAATTGTAGCTGGGTTCGAACCTGGCGGACAGAGGTTTAGAAAAGAAGTGATTGTGAGTATTATCGGAGCTAACAGAGAGGCGAAGAGGGAGCAAATGGCCTTGAAAGAAGATGTCGTCGGCAGCGCACATGGGCGGCGGCGGCCAGTGGTTGAAATCGAAATCCTCCGTGATGGGGTTTTCATCTAGAAGCAAAGGCTGCTGCTTTTCTTTGACAGGAAGGTCGCACATAGATAATGCCTCTTCTTCTTCTTCTTCTTCTTCGTCTTCTTCGTCTTGATTATCGTGTTCATCGCCATGGATGGTTGTTGCCATGAGCTCTTCCCACTCTGAGTTGAAATTTTTTATTGCTATGTATTAATGGAAAAGAAGAAGAAGAGATTGAGATTCATATTATATAAAGTGACAAAGCAAAGAATGATGAAAGTGAGAGAAAGAAGGAATAAATATGAATGGTCTAATCAATATCTCTATGGATTATTTTAACATTATTGTTAAAAATATATTATATATTTTATAAAGTTTAATTTTTTTGGTATGATTTTACAAATTTGTTTTTTTAGCTTTAAGATTTTTTTATTAAAAAAAATTTCCTCCTTTTTTATATTGATACTTTCAATAAAATATAAATTTATTTTTTTGTCTGCTTGTTCCGCTTTTACTTTTGGGCTTCCCCTCAAATTTAACGTGTCTGATGGAGAGAGGTTTTTCCACTCTTATAATGAAGGTTTAGTTAACTTGTGAGATCTCGCATCGATTGGAAAGGAGAACGAGTGCCAGCGAGGACGTCGAGCCCCAAACAGGGGTGGATTGTAAGATCTCACATTGGTTAGAGATGTGTTAAGAATAATGCTCTGATACCATGTTAAGAATGAGAAACTTAAGTGGAATCAAAGTCTAAGAAACAGAAGTGAGATCAAAAGTTCAATTTATAACATTAATACAAACTACCAACTAAATCCTAAAAAATAAGAGGAAATATTCTACTAACCAAATCAGACAAAATAAAATATATCAAATATAAAATACGGGTTATGGCTATAATAAAATATATTCCAATAAGATGGGAACCAAACATATATTATAAGTGTATGAAAATTTCTTCTCAGCAGACATGTTTTAAAAACAATATTTACTAGCGATAGACTTAAGTTGTTACAGTTATGATAGTTTGAAGTTAAATTTTATCAAATTCGATATAATAATTTACAGTAAAAAAAATGTAATTTAACCTTACGAGAAAAAGAAACTGATCGAGATTTGACGATAGGGTTTGGAAAAGCAATGATGAGGGAGTAGGCTCTTTAACCGGCCAAAGCCAAATGGTTGGAGAAAAAATGAGGGCTTTGGGTGGTGTGTGTGGCATGATTGATTAAAGGTGTATTGCTGTGCCAAAGGGGGAAAAGAATGGCTCTCTTTGCTTATCTTTATAACCTTTGTTCTGTGGCTGTGCTTCATTTGGTCATTCAATGCTGAGAGAGAGGGACAACATAATGCTTATTCGTCTCGTCTCTTTAGACACACAATATACCTACCAATGTATTTAAGACGTTGCTTTCGTTCATCGTTTTCTAATTAATATGTATTACTTATTTGAACGATTATATAACGACGCATTGGTTAAGGATCGTATAAAGAAGTGAGTTGCTTGAATTCGAAGGTTCGTTCATACTTGTTTTTCCAACTAGATTATGATATAAAGTTACGTTGTACTGGCAAATTATCACTTATTTCGGTAGAATCAAGTATAATTATCGATACTAGAATTTAATTTTATGGATATATGAATGACCACAACAATATTATTGAGTACTTTTTAAAATAAAAATCTATAATAATTAATAACCCGTTGTTTTTTAGGTAGGAAATGAGTTAATATTTAATTTCTCTTCAAAGGATGAGTATATAAATGAACTGATATCACATCTGAATGTCAGTGATCTTGGAGATATCATGGCTAAGAAAATATTAAAACAATTAGAAGTCATTATCTATATCAACAAGATACATCTCACTTTTTGGTGACTCAATCATAATAATTTTATAATTAAATATGTTTTGATGAGAAATTCTATTTTGGTGATAAGTGAGGACAAAATATATTGGAATAACTGAGCTGGTCTGTATGGAAAGTCTGTCTCTGTAAAAGTAAATAAAAGAAAAATATCTTGCACTTGTTGGCAAGGTTAAAAGAAAAATATCTTGCGACTTGTTGGCAAAGTCCTATTTGATATATTTGGAGCACATGGATTGTGGGACCTATTAAAAATGAAATTAAATTATTCATATGATATTTTTTAAACTGGGCTACAAGCAAATAATGGAAGATATTTCTTTTGTTGTATTATGAAACACATTTTTATATTTACTAAAGTGTTTTTTTTTTCTATTTTATTTTAAATTTATAAAAGTCACTTAGAACTTAAATATATTATAAAGTAAAATATAAAATATATATATAAATTAAAGTGTTTTTTTTTTCTATTTTATTTAGCAAATAAAATATAAACGTTTAAATTTTTTTAATTAAATTAATTTTTTTAATTAAATTAATTGTTTTAATGTTACTCTGAGCTAGTGGGAAGAACTTAGGAAACCCTTATAAATGATATAAAATTAAGCAATTAATCTTTTAAATTAATCTATTTTTGTTCATTAATCATAATTTATTTTATTATAAACTTAGAGTTGCACTCTTATTCAATAGAAGAATGGAACAGAAGAATGGTATCCATTGATACGATCAAAAGTAAGTTAATCAATACAAGAAGATAAGATTGTACTTTTGAATTGGTGACGACTAGTCAATTCAGCCATGCCCATCGCAAGTTGTATCCATTGAGTTTTTAACTGTCTTAGAGAATGAATTTAAAGTGGTGTAGAAGGAAAAAGGGCTTGTGACACGTGGGGACGTAGAAAAATAAAATTTAAAATACCAGCAAAATTAAAATTTTTGGTCAAAGTTAACGGAGAAAATGTCCGAAAAAAAATAAAGAAAAGGAAAAGAAGATAGAGAGAAACCTAGGGTTATGATGTAATATGATTGACTATACAATGCATGCTATGACACGGCATGCAATATGATATGTGCATAATATGATATGCTACGTTAAAAGACATGATATGACATATGTTTGACATGATGAGATATATGATATGATTGCCATACAATATAATGTATTGACATAATGCACAACCTCGATATATGCATGAAAAATATGATAAAATGATATGATATAAAGGAAGGTGGAAGATGGGTTTTTGTACATGATTTAACGAATGAAAAGTGTTGAGACCTCATGCATTATTGTATGCTCATGCACTCGGGGATACTCCTTCTTTTACGATGGTACGGATGCGTACACTATGAGGCAGGAAAACAATCATTATGTTTATTATAATGTTGCGATGATCATTATTCCTAACGGGTGTCTGACATCAACAACTCTAGAGAATGCTCGTCGACAAGAAAGGAGCCTAGGAGTTGTGCGAACTAAATGGTGGTCCATACTCGCATGGGTGGAACATGTGTAAAACATTATCTAAGTACCCACTTAGGATAGCCACATAAGGAATATATACTAATATGATAGGTCACACTCATGATTGTATGTGCTTACATTTAACTCCAGTAGCGGAGTAACTTAGTGAGTATTTCTTAAAATACTCAGGACATGTATTACTCTCATTTTTCAGATAAAGGCAAAACTCCTGTACTCTTGACGGTAACATTGTGATCCAAGAGATCATAATACATGCATATGGTAGTTTGCATTTAAACTTCATAAACGGTAGGTTAGTATAGAATTTTTGTTATTTTATTTAAAGATCTTCTAGAAAACATGTAAATCTATGACTATGTTTTATGATAAAGTTTCGAATGAAATATTTTCACATAAAGTAACGACTTTAGATCAAGTAGAAATCTAGAGTCCTTTATAAGATCACGTTCACATCTATTTAATTTAATTTTTTTTTTTTTTTTTGTCTTTTCGATAATATGATTAAAAAGTAGTTAAATTTTGATTCTAATATTAAATACTCTAAAAAAGAAAAAGAAAAAAAAGACAAAAAAAGACAGAGTACTTTGCAAAAACTGCTAAATTAAGGATTCAAAATTCGAAATTCAAAATTCATCCGATCATCACTCTTCGGTCTTCTCCCTCCTTTGGAGCTCTTCCATGGCGGGATTCTAGGGTTTTCACTCACTTGATTTCGGTACTCTTTTGCATTTAAATGCCACAGTGTTAGTATTACCTTCTCTTTTTCATTTTTTGTTCCTGTTCTTATTTACTTCTCTGCTATACTGGTGTGTGTTGTTTGTAAATAGCCGTGCATTATATGTTTATTTTGCGGAGAGGAGTACCTATTTCCGTATGGAGATGATTGCTTCGCATATGAAACTTGCGGACTGGAAGCAGAGTAGTCTCTGCCAAGCGCATGAACAGTTGCATTCGGAGGCTTCTAAGTTTTTGTTGTTTAGCCTTCAATGGAAGGACTTGGAAACGCACTTCGATTCGACTCGAGAAATGATTCAGACGCAGTACGAGGAGCTTGAGAGGCGGGAGAAGGCGATTGCGTCGAAGGAAGAGGAGTTGGATGATGTGAAGAAGTCTATTAATGAATGCTCGAAAGAGCTTGAGTTGAAGAAGAACGAACTGATCGAGTTGAATCGTTTGATTGAGAAATGTGATGGTGAGCTTAGATTGAAAGAGGTGGATTTGGATGCAGCCCAGGAGAGACTAGGGATATTGTTGAAGGATATTAACTTGAAAGAAGACGAGGTTAATAAGGTATGCATCACAGTCTTGGACGACGAGGAGTGTGAGGAGAAGGAGAAACCATTTGATATGGTTCAAAAGAGGATTGACGATTGTGAGCTGGTTATGGAATTAAATGAACAGAAATTAAATGAGATAATACAGTTAATTGAGGAGCGGTCAATGAAATGTGAGTTGAAGGGGACGAGTGTAGAATCAATAAGAGCATTGCTTCAAGAACATGAAGAAGAGCTTGCAACTAAGATGGCAATTAAAGATACCAACGGAAAACTCAAATTGAAAGAAAAGGATCTTGAAACAATTCATAATATGATTACCACTAAGTGGAAAATGGAGAGATTAGACGAGATAGAAAGGTCTATAAAATTGCGGACCCAAGAACTTGATCTTAAAGAGAAGGAGTTTGGTTTACTGCAGAACAAGTTGAAGGTTCTTTCTGAAGATTTGTTATCAAAGGAATCAGAGTTAGAATCCATCAAAAGGTGTATCAAGGAACATAGTAAAGAACTTGATGTACAGGAAAAGCAACTTGATGGCATTCAACAATCTATTCGGGATTGTCAGAATGCGCTTATATTGCTTACTAAATATGTTTATTCAATAGAGAAGGCAATTGTCGAATGCTCAAAGGAATTGGAGTTCAAGGACAATAACCTTGATTCATTGCAAGCGTCTGTGGATGACTACTCTACCGAGTTGCCATCAATGATGAAACAACAGAACTCCATTTCTTTGATAGTCGATAAATGTCTTGAAGGTCTGAAAACTCGAAAAGAGCATTACAATTTGTTGAGAAAATCAATAGAACAACGCTCAAAGAATCTCAAGAACAAAGAAAATGATTTTCGACGACGGACAGAAGAACTCAACAAGAAGGATGAGAAAGTAAGCATTTCTCTGAAAGAGATTGAATCCTTAAAAACAGATATGGATTCACAGATGATATTGGTGGAAAAAGGCCGTGAAGAACTAAGATTAAAAGAAATACAATGCAATTTGTGGGCTGAGAAACTCGAGTCAAAAGAAAAAGAGATCAATCTAGCCAGGGCTTCGAAAGATAATCGTAATGAAAAGGTAAAATTGTTGGGTGATCCAAACATTCTTCCTCTGAAAGTAAAAACTGAGGAATTAGGGTGCAGAACTGCTGAAAGTTCTATGACTTTGAATTTTCATTCAGGATCAGCCGTAGATGGAAAGCTTTTGTTAGTTCTTTTATGTGAGCATCTGAAACTGCATGATTTGGTACGCACAGAAGTGTTTATGACTCTTCAAGCATCTTCCGATCGTGCAAAGTTAGTTCTAGATGCTATGAAATGGTTCTACCCTCCACATGTGGTGTCCGAAGATGCAAAAGTCGATTTGCATAATGTCAAGAGGGGATGCATTTTGCTATGTGAATTATTATTGAAGTTCTCACCACAAATTACGCCTTCACTGAAGGAAGAAGCTCTAAAGCTGGCAGTCCAGTGGAAGGCCAGGATGTCAATGTCAAGTGAGAATCATGTGGAAGTGGTGGCATTCTTGCTACTTATAGCTAATTTTCAGCTGGCCTCAGATTTTAATTCAGAGGAATTACATATTCTTCTGAATTCAGTTTCACAATATAAACAAGGATTTGAGCTAGCCCGAGCGCTTGGTATTGGAGACAAATCTTCTGGTAAGCAGTACATGTCCTTTCTCACCATCTTTATACTCATTTATTATAAATTGTTGGCAAAATAGTTTCCTCTGTTTAATTTATTAGTTAATACCTAGATATGTTGTTAAGGATAGTTGACCGTTCATTAAGGCAAATATCTAGATATTTGCCTTACATTACGGGTTACCATATTTTCTCTTTTACTAAATGCAAATATATTGTATTCATTTATTATTCTTTCCTTTTATCGCTATTTCCTTATTATTTGTAATTTACCTTATTTCTGTATTCTGTAAATGATTATAAATAAGAGAACTCTCACCACCATTTGGGTGTGGTGGATTAATCAAACATTCACATGGTATCAGAGCCCTTTCGGTTTAACAACCCTGATCCTTTCTTCTCTATGGCTTCCGAATCTTGTTATCATCTTCTTCCTTTCAATACTCTAATCCATATGATCACCATCAAACTTTCTTCCTCCAATTATCTTCTTTGGAAAAGCCAACTTCTCCCTCTTCTTGAGAGTCAAGACATGCTGGGCTATGTCGATGGAACTATGGTTCCACCACCTCGCTTTGAACCAGAAACCTCCTCAACATTCAACCCCAAATATTTGGCATGGAGAGCAGCCGATCAACGACTTCTCTGTCTCCTGCTCTCCTCTCTCACTGAGGAAGCCATGGCTGTTGTCGTTGGTCTCTCTACTGCACGTGATGTTTGGCTTGCGTTGGAAACTACGTACAGCCATCAGTCAAAAGCTCGTGAACTGAGACTCAAGGATGACTTGCAGTTGATGAAACGTGGCACAAAACCTGTTGCTGAGTATGCCCGTGCCTTCAAAAAAATTTGTGACCAACTTCATGCCATTGGCAGACCCGTCGAGGACATTGATAAAGTGCATTGGTTCCTTCGTGGACTCGGCACCGAATTTTCAGCTTTTTCTACTGCTCAGATGGCTCTCACCCCTATCCCCTGTTTTGCAGATCTAGTCTCTAAAACTGAAAGTTTTGAGTTGTTCCAGCGCTCCCTTGAGTCCTCTGACTCCACTCCTACAGCATTCATAGCCACTAATCGTGGCCGCACCCATGAAAGTCACCCTGCTTCCTTTACCAACCAGCGAGGTCGTTCTTATTCTCACAAAAACAACTCTTCTAATCGAGGACGAACCCACTCAAGTCAGGGTCGTCGACCACCTCATTGCCAAATATGCCGCAAAGAGGGCCATTATGCTGACCGCTGCAACCAACGGTATGTTCGACCTGATTCTTCTCATGCTCACCTTGCTGAAGCCTTTAACACGTCATGTTCTATTGCTGGACCCGATGCTGCTGATTGGTTTTTGGACACTGGAGCTTCGGCCCATATGACTGCCGACCCATCAATTCTGGATCAGTCTAAAAATTACACGGGTAAGGACTCTGTGATTGTAGGAAACGGTGCATCCCTACCCATTACCCACATCGGTACTCTTTCTCCTGTTCCAAATATTCACTTATTAGATGTCTTGGTTGTCCCTCACCTCACTAAAAATCTTCTTTCCATAAGTAAATTAACGTCTGATTTTCCTCTCTCCGTTACATTTACTAATAATCTTATTACTATCCAGAATCATCAAACAGGAAGGGTGGTGGCAACCGGTAAAAGAGATGGAGGGCTATATGTGCTGGAGCGCGGCAACTCTGCTTTTATTTCAGCCCTTAAAAACAAATCTTTACGTGCTTCATATGATTTATGGCATGCTCGTCTGGGTCATGTGAATCATTCTGTTATTTCTTTTTTAAATAAAAAAGGTCATCTTTCTCTTACGTCTTTATTGCCTTCTCCATCATTATGTAATAGTTGTCAGCTTGCGAAAAGCCATCGATTGCCTTATTCCCGCAATGAACGTAGGTCGTCTCATGTGTTAGATCTTATTCATTGTGATCTTTGGGGTCCTTCTCCCGTCAAATCAAATTCGGGTTTTCTTTATTATGCTATTTTTATTGATGATTATTCTCGATTCACTTGGTTTTACCCTTTAAAATTCAAATCTGATTTTTTTGATATTTTTCTTCAATTTCAAAAATTTGTGGAAAATCAATATTCTTCTCGTATCAAGGTATTTCAAAGCGATGGTGGTACCGAATTTACTAGTACTTGTTTCAAAACTCATTTACGTAATTCTGGCATCCACCATCAACTCTCTTGTCCATATACACCTGCTCAAAATGGTCGTGTTGAGAGAAAACATCGTCATGTGACTGAGACTGGCTTGGCCCTTCTCTTTCACTCTCATCTTTCTCCTCGTTTTTGGGTTGACGCCTTCAGCACTGCAGCTTATATTATCAACCGGTTGCCTACTCCACTTCTTGGAGGTAAGTCACCCTTTGAACTCCTTTATGGCTACACTCCACATTATGACAATTTTCATCCCTTTGGTTGTCGTGTTTATCCTTATTTGCGTGATTATATGCCTAACAAGCTTTCTCCCCGCAGCATTCCTTGTATTTTTTTGGGTTATAGTCCTGTTCATAAAGGGTTCCGCTGTCTTGATCCCGCCACCACTAAGCTATATATCACCTGCCATGCTCAATTTGATGAAACTCACTTTCCTGCTATCCCTAGCTCCCAAGCCCAACCTCTTTCCACTATTCCTATTTCAAATTTCTTGGAACCACATCTTCATCATATTGATTCATCCCCCCCTACCACTTCATCACCGCACGTTCCTCAATCCAGTTCATCCCCGTGTGATATTTGTTCTGACCTTGTAGATGAGTCTGTGCAGGTTGATACTTCTCTTGCAGGTTCCACTTTGTCACCCTCGACTTCTAATTCAACCTCTATTGAACCTCCTGTTGATTTCTCTTCTTTGGGCACTCATCCTATGATCACACGCGCCAAAGCTGGTATATTCAAGACTCGTCATCCAGCAAATCTTGGTATGTTGGGCTCATCTGGACTTCTCTCTGCTCTTCTTGCATCCACTGAGCCAAAAGGATTCAAATCTGCGGCTAAGAATCCTGCTTGGGTGGCTGCCATGGATGAAGAAATTCGAGCGTTACAACAAAATGATACTTGGACTTTGGTTCCTCGCCCTGCCAACACCAACATCGTGGGCTCTAAATGGGTGTTTCGTATTAAATATTTGCCCGATGGATCCGTCGAGCGTTTCAAGGCTCGTCTCGTTGCCAAAGGTTATACTCAGGTTCCTGGTCTTGACTACACTGACACTTTCAGTCCAGTTGTCAAAGCTACCACTGTCCGTGTTGTGCTTTCTATTGCAGTCACAAATAAATGGCCTCTTCGACAACTTGATGTCAAGAATGCTTTTCTCAATGGAACGCTTATTGAACGTGTTCATATGGAACAACCTCCTGGGTATGTTGATCCTCGATTTCCAAAGCATGTTTGTCTATTAAAGAAAGCTCTCTATGGCTTAAAGCAAGCTCCTCGTGCTTGGTTTCAGCGTTTTAGCTCATTTCTTCTCACACTTGGGTTTTTTTGTAGTCGCGCTGACACGTCCCTTTTTGTCTTTCATCAGCAATCTAACCTTATCTATTTGCTTCTTTATGTTGATGACATTATTGTTACCGGCAACAACTCATCTCTTATTAACAGCTTTACTCGCAAGCTTCATTCTGAGTTTGCTACCAAAGATTTGGGTTCTCTCAGTTACTTTCTTGGTCTTGAAGCTTCACCCACTCCTGATGGTCTCTTTATCAGTCAGTTAAAATATGCTCGAGATATTCTTACTCGTGCTCAGTTGCTCGATAGCAAACCAGTTCACACTCCCATGGTTGTTTCTCAACACCTGACTGCTGATGGTTCTCCTTTCTCTGATCCTACTCTCTACAGATCTCTTGTTGGCGCCCTTCAGTACTTGACTATCACGCGTCCAGATATTGCCTATGCTGTCAATTCTGTCAGTCAATTCTTGCATGCCCCTACTGCAGATCACTTTCTTGCTGTCAAACGTATTCTTCGCTATGTCAAAGGAACACTCCACTTTGGTCTTATCTTTCGTCCATCCACTGTTCCTAGTACGCTAGTCGCTTATTCAGATGCTGACTGGGCTGGTTGTCCCGATACTCGTCGTTCTACATCCGGCTATTCTATTTATCTTGGTAACAATCTCATTTCTTGGAGTGCCAAAAAGCAACCTACTGTATCACGCTCCAGCTGTGAATCTGAGTATCGTGCTCTTGCCACAACTGCTGCTGAACTTCTTTGGGTTACGCATCTTTTGCATGACCTCAAGGTCCCTATTTCACAGCAGCCCTTACTCTTATGTGACAACAAAAGTGCTATTTTTTTGAGCTCTAATCCTGTTTCTCACAAGCGGGCCAAGCATGTTGAACTAGATTATCATTTCCTTCGAGAACTTGTTATCGCTGGCAAACTTCGTACACAATATGTACCCTCTCATCTCCAAGTTGCTGACATCTTCACAAAGAGTATTTCTCGACCTCTCTTTGAATTTTTCAGATCCAAGCTTCATGTTCGTTCAAATCCGACGCTCAGCTTGCGGGGGGGTGTTAAGGATAGTTGACCGTTCATTAAGGCAAATATCTAGATATTTGCCTTACATTACGGGTTACCATATTTTCTCTTTTACTAAATGCAAATATATTGTATTCATTTATTATTCTTTCCTTTTATCGCTATTTCCTTATTATTTGTAATTTACCTTATTTCTGTATTCTGTAAATGATTATAAATAAGAGAACTCTCACCACCATTTGGGTGTGGTGGATTAATCAAACATTCACATATGTTTTATATATGCATTTCTTTTCAAAAAAAACAAAAGATAATAAATTACATATGCATTCATCTGGATTCTGACCCATGGAAGTGTTGAAACTAATAATAGCTAATAATAGAATTTGAATTAGTTACGGAAGAGAAGGAAGGAGGAGGTGAATTCAAATTCATCCACAAAATCTCCACAAAAATCTCAACCAATTCCGAGAATCCCCTATAAAAGGACCTCTCTCCCCATCACTCAAATCACTCCTCCTCTCAATCTCAATTCAGTTTTCTGTTGTCACCAACAACTGGTATCAGAGCTGAGTTGACTGTTCGACGCCCGGGGAAGGCCCCCGAAGGAGCCGTTCCCAGTCCATCCCCCGGCCGACACGCAGCGACCCGTTCTCGCTGCGGGAGTAGCTCGAGCAGTCCACCAACAGCTGACGGGTTCGGGACTGGGACCCCCGTGCCCAGCCCTCAGAGCCAATCCGCCATCCTGAGGTTCGACGGTCACTATGATCATTGGGCGATGTTGATGGAAAATTTTCTCAGATCAAAGGAGTTCTTTGATATGGTGGAAACAGGTTATGAAGAGCCAAATGAAGGCGAGGTACTCTCAGCTGATCGACAGCAACTGTTGGCAGCATCGAAGTTGAAGGACCTGAAGGTCAAGAACTATTTATTTCAGTCCATTGATAGGACTATCTTGGAAACAATGCTTCAGAAGAAGACATCTAAAGAAATTTGGGACTCTATGAGGAGGAAGTATCAAGGTTCAACGAGAGTAAAACGTGCTCAACTACAGGCAGTTAGGAGAGACTTTGAAATTCTCCAAATGCAAAAGGGAGAAACAGTGAATGATTATATTGGCAAGGTTATAAGTCTTGCAAGTAAAATGAGGATGCATGGTGGTTCAATCACAGATGTTGCGGTCGTAGAAAAGATTTTGCGATCACTAACACCAAAGTTCGATTACATTGTATGTTCTATCGAAGAAGCAAACAATGTCGAGGAAATGCAAATAGATGAACTCCAAAGCTCCCTGTTAGTACATGAGCAGAGGCTCAATCGTACAAGTGCAATAGAGGAGATGACAGCCTTAAAGATATCCACACCAAGTGAAATTTCAAGCTCTAGAGGTAGAGGGCAAAGAAGAGGCAGAGGTCGTGAGAGAGGCAGTCGAGAAAGAAGTGGAGATGTTGGCAGGTCAGCAGACCTAGTCAGAAATGATTATAACAACAAAGGCAAGAGGCACTTTGACAAGTCTAAGGTTGAATGTTACAGATGTGGATGCCTTGGGCATTACAAAAATGAATGCTATACCAGGCTCCAAAAGGAGAAAAGAAATCAATCCAATTTTGTGGAGAGAAGAGAAGAAGAAACATTATTAATGTCATTCCATGCTATGAAGGTGGCAGATCAAGGTGTATGGGTCGTAGACTCTGGATGCAGCAATCATATGACAGGTTGTAAGGAATTCTTCTCAACTTTAGATGAAAATTTTCATACTACGATCTCTCTTGGCAACAATTCATCTCTCCAAGTGATGGGGAAAGGAACCGTAGATATCAAGACTAGAAATGGCTTTGTAGAGTCTATTTCTAATGTATTCTACAAAAAAGGAGATGATCCGAAGATAGTTGGCTATACAGATAGCGACTATGCAGGTGATATAGACGATCGTAAAAGTACTTCAGAAAGTATTTTCTTGATGAGTTCAGGAGCTATTTGCTGGTCTTCAAAGAAGCAACCTATTGTAACACTCTCAATGACAGAAGCAGAATTTGTGGCAGCAGCAGCATGCTCGTGCCAAGCAATTTGGTTAAGAAAAATGCTTGAAATTCTTAATCAGAAGCAACCAAGTACGACGGTTATATATTGTGATAATATGTCAACTATTAAGTTGTCTAAAAATCCTGTGTTGCATGGAAGGAGCAAGCACATCGATGTTCGATTTCATTTCTTGCGTGATTTGTGTAAAGAAGACATTATTGAACTCAACTTTTGCCGAAGTGATGAACAAATCGCAGACCTATTCACAAAGCCCTTGAAACAACCATTGTTCAAGAAGCTCAGAAGAAAGATGGGGATATGCAGAATCCAAGATGTATATCAAGAAAATGAAATGAAGTCCTAAACCGATTTCCGCAGAATTCAGTTTAAGGGATGGTGTTGAAACTAATAATAGCTAATAATAGAATTTGAATTAGTTACGGAAGAGGAGGAGGTGAATTCAAATTCATCCACAAAATCTCCACAAAATCTCCACAAAAATCTCAACCAATTCTGAGAATCCCCTATAAAAGGAATCTCTCCCCATCACTCAAATCACTCCTCCTCTCAATCTCAATTCAGTTTTCTGTTGTCACCAACAGGAAGTTATTGTTGAGGATTGTTGGGAGTGAGTCCTACATTGGCTAATTTAGGGAATGATCATGGGTTTATAAGTGAGGAATACTATTTTCATTGGTGTGAGGCCTTTTGGACAAGTCCAAAACAATGCCATGAGAAATTATGCTCAAAGTGGACAATATTATATCATTGTGGAGAGTCGTGATTCCTAACAGTTATGTTGTCATTGATCCTATTTTCTTCGCAGTATATCAATTTATGAATGTTATTTAGTTCTTTGCTGTAGTTGATAAATCAAATACCAATTAAAGCTGGCTGGTTTTTAAATATCTGTTCTCTCTATTTTTTTGTTTCTCATTTTATTCAGAGGGCAGTGCAGCTCCTAGGCTGGTTAAACTGGAGCAACCTGAATCATTGCCAGACAATGAAATGCCGGTCTTTTCCTTAAAAAATAAGCAGCATAGCATGGATTCAAATGAGAAGAGATTATATTTAATTTTGAATAAGCATTTGACTGAACAGAAATTGATGCCAAGTGCAATCTTATCGATTCTTAAAGAGTCGTCAAACGCTCCAAAACTTGTCTTGGATGTGATTCAAGTTTCTTTTCACCAACAGTTGAAGTTACAGATGGGTTTTGAAGAAAGTTTCTTGAGGTGGTCCACACTTCTTTTAAAGCAATTAAAGCAAATCTCACCAAGTATTGATCCAAAGGTGAGAGAAGGTGCATTGAAGCTTGCAGTTGACTGGAAATTGAACATGAAAAGTGATGCAAATGATTATTTGGACGTTGTTGGCTTCTTGCAACTTATAGCGTCATATGGATTGACGACTTCATTCAGCGAGGAAGAGATCTTAAAGCTCTTTGAGAAAATAGTGCTGCATGAACAGGCAACGGAGTTGTGCCTGATGTTCGGGTATAATCAAAAGATACAAGGTTAGTTTTCTAAACTTGTTCTCTGTTAATTTCCAATCATTCATTTTAGTTCTGGGCTGATACTTACTAATTTGAGTATTGTTTAACTAGTATATTTTCAACCAGGTTTGAATTTCCACTTAATTCTCACCTTAACCTATTAAACTAAAAAACTACTCTGATACTTTACTTCCCATCCACATTGTGCAAAGGTTTTTCTTGGAGCCATACATTTTCTTTTCCTTAAAATAAATCGAGGAAGTAACTAATGCTTCTTGAACTACTTTTCTAGATTAGAACTGTTGAAATATCATCATTAGCTCGATAGGATCAAAGTCAATAATTGTATGAACCCATTGTATATTTATTTTAGTAAAATGATTTAGATATTTTAGGAGTAAAATATTTAGATATTTTAAGAAAATGATTTAGATATCTTAAGAATAAAGATATCTAGATATTTTAGGAATAGATCTAAATATTTTAGGAATACATTGACCAGACTTTACTATAAATACCTCTCCACCTTATCTAGGTTTTCATCCCAAGAAAGTATAAAGTGCAGTAGTTTCTACCGGGTCTCTTGTAATCTCTTCTCAATTTGTGTTAATAAAGTGTGTGAGTGTTTCCCACAAAGAGTTGTGTTCAACAATTTGATATCTGAACGAGATTAGTGTAGGTTATTTGATCTCTTGGAATTATTAGCATGCTATGTGGTTGTCCATGACTCTGCACGTTTTGTGTAGAAAAAGCTTGTTTGGTATTAAGAAACTCAACAACTACAACACGTGGGTAACATGCATGATGTTCTATTTACAAGAATAGGACCTTCGAGAGGTCGTTGGCGGGAGTGAAATTACGTTGTCAGAGGAGGATTCTAATGGCGCCTTGCGCAAACGGAGAATCAAAGCAGGCAAAACAATGTTTGACTTGAAGACCACGATTGAAGAAGAGATGTTGGAGCATATTTGGGATGACAAGATACCGAAAGAAGCATGGGACACGTTTGTGATGCTGTTCTCGAAGAACGATAGGAGGCTACTACAACTTCTGGAGAACGAGTTGTTATCAATTTCACAACGTGACATGACGATTTTTCAGCACTTCCACAAAGTGAACTAGACTCGAAGTCCACCATTGGAGAAGCTCGGATGAAGAGGATCATTATCTATGGATTGCAACCAGAATATAGAAGCTCCGTTATTGTTGTACAAGGATGACCTGCTCAACCATCATCGGTAAAGTTTGTAAATTTGTTAGCTAGTCAAGAAGCCACGTCTAAACAAATAGGAGACATCACATTAAAGGGTGAATAAGAAGCACTCTACACAAGTGAAAGTCAGAGCAACAATAAGTCGTCTACCAAACGTGGATATAGAAATGGTGACAAAGGAAGAAGCCATCAAGGAACTGCACAACTAGGGAGAGTTCAGAAAAACGACGACAAGAGTTCTCAAGGGAAGAAATTTGAAGGTATCTGCTACAATTGCAAGAAGAAGGGCCATATGTCTAAGGATTGTTGGTTCAAGAAAAAGTCTGTCGAAAGCAACATGACATCTTTCCATAGAAGAAGACGAGCTGACACTCATGGCAATGATGGGAGAGCATATCATTTATGAGGATGATTGAATCATTGATTCATGATGCTCAAATTACATAACTGACGATCAGAGTGACGTAATGGAAGCATGGTGTCCCTCAGACATGGATGCATGGTGTCCCTCAGACATGGAAGCATTACCAAATTTGGATTCAAACAAGGAAGCATTACCAGACTTGGATTCAAACAAGGAAGTATTACTAGACTTGGACAACATTGAAGAAATTTTTTCACAGAAGACGGGAGAACAAATTGTACAAATTTACTTTAGTGTTGATGTGCTTGAATATCGAAATGACACTGATGTTGGTGAGCAAGAGGGAATCAACCAAGCAAACCTAGTGAAAAGGAAATGACACCTCAACAACTCAGACCATCAGAAAGAATCCAAAAGCCAAATCCAAAATATGTCAATGCAACTATTATAGAAGACGAAATTAAAGAGTCAAAGATATATGAAGAAGCATCACAAAATACGACTTGTCAGTAGGTAATGGAGGAAGAAATTATAGTCTTGGAGAAAAGTCAAACCTGGGAACTAGTGCCAAGACCAAAAGATATCAAACCCATCTCTTGCAAGTGAGTTCACAAAATAATTTCTTTTGGAGGGATCAAACGTGAGATACAAGACTTGGACTGGAGATCCAAGGTTCTTTCAATAAGATGGACTAGACTATGATGAATCGTTTAGTCCAGTGGGGAAAATCACTCTTGTACAGGTTCTTCCAGCACTTGTGATAAATAAAGATTGAAAATTATGGTAGATGGATATGAAATTTTTTTTCTTGCACGGAGAGTTAAACAAAGAGATCTACACGGACCATCTGAAGAAATTTGAGAATGCAGTTGGAGTCACAAGTCAATACATGCAAAATCCAAAGACACCTCATTTGGATGCGGCTCGACAGATCTTTAGATATGTCAAAGGTACAATCAATTATGATCTTTTGTACAAAAGAAGCAAAGATTGCAAACTATCTAGATACTGTGATGTTGACTATGCAGGATATCATGATACCTGAAAATCAAGCACCAGGTATGTGTTCAAGATCAATTCAAGAGCAATTTCTTGGTGTAGTAAAAGACAATTAACAATATTATTGTCAACTATAGAAGTAGAGTACAGAGCAGCTGCTGCTCAAGAAAGTACATGGCTGAAACTCTTAATGGAGAATTTGTACCAGAAAATTGACTATTCAATACCACTCCATTACAACAACCAATTTGTGATTTGTCTAGCAAAAAATCTGGTATTTCATGTTAGAACAAAGCATATGGAGGTGCATTACCATTTCATTAGAGAGAAAATTCGGAAGGAAGAAATCGAGATGCAGCAGATCAAGATAGAAGACTAAGTGACAGACTTGTTTACAAAAGGGCTAACATGAGGGCTTTCGCTATCAACTCAACATGATGCAACGAATGAGGACTAGTATTGAGGAGGAGTGTTGAAGTATCATCACTAACCCGATAGGATCGAACCCAATAATTGTATGAGTCAATTGTATATTTATTTTAGTAAAATAATTTAGATATTTTAGGAATAAAGATATCTAGATATTTTAGAAAAATGATTTATGTATCTTAATAATAAAGATACCTCAACATAGTACTATCTACGGGTATCAAATCGTGAACAAAAACTTAAAAGACTTAAAAGATAACATTTAACAATGACCAAAAATATTGTATCCCTTTCTTGTCTTTTATTTACCAATGTGACGAGCAGTGCCTATTTCCCATCATAATCTTCGTTTTTAAAATGATTAACAAGCTATTAGGCTATTCCCCATGTTCATTGGTTCGTGCTGTGTCTTTATTGCATTTTGGATTGAGAAAAACAGCACACACTTTTAGTGGACGTATGAACATTATTTTGTTTTATTAAACCTAAAGGCTAAAATCCGCTTTATTCACATTATCGGACCTAAAATCAAAATTCAATTTGCGATGGGAGTAAGGACCCATAATAACTATTCTTGTTTCTTGTTTCTTGTTTTATTAAAATAAAATGTTGTTGTTTATTGCTTTTTTATTTTTTTTATTATTTTTTATTTCTTGTTTCTCTTTATATTATTTAATTTTTTATTTAAGAACTTTATAAAATGTGTCTCTGTAACTTTTTTTTTTTTTTTTTTAAATAAATTAATCAATCATTTATACAATGTTTATTAGTTGATTGACATCCGTTAGGCATTTTATGGTAAAAATGATAAACATATTTTTGTAAAATTGGAAACGGAACAAAGAGACTACTTATCTTAACATTTGAAATTTGATTTTACAATAATTTTTTTTTTACCTGTTCTAATCGACGACCTTGTCTCATATTCTTTCATTTTGCAGAAATTGCACAAAATCTGATTGGAACAAAGCAATTTGTTAAGGCCGTCAGGTTTATATGTGGATACAAGTTGGAATGCTTTCGACCCGTACAGATTCTGAATGAATATCTGCGAGATGTAAGGAATGCCACTGTAAAAGTCAGCAAGAAACATGATACTGGACAGGACGATGTACGTGCTGCCATGGTTAGTCGTCTGTTCTCATGGAATCCCCAAAATGTTAACATTGTAAAGAAATAGTCCTTTTTTTTTTTTTTTTTTTTTGCTAAGATATCTACTTTGGCTATCACTGCAAGGATGAAGCCATAGACAAGGAGATAGATGCTGTGAAGTCGGTAATTACATGCGCTGCAGATTGTAACCTTAGTTCTGAAATCTCATCTCAAGGGCTTCAAAACCTCATTGTTTCTCTTAAAGATATGAAAAGGAAGAAACGCAACATCCATGGTCAACTGCCAAATTTGACCACGGGTAATATGCAACAGTCACATTCCATCATTGTCCAATCACAACAACGTCCACATCCGACCAAAGGCAGAATGCAAGCACAACAACCGAACCCAACCCATCAATCGCTGCAGCAACATCATCCTAACCATCAACAGCATATGCCGAAGAAACGTAAGACGAATCAGGGTCAAAGTGGTTCAACGAAATACCCTCAGAAACCTCCACCAACTAGACCTGCGCTTTCGAATTTATCTCCTAGAGTAAATAACCAATAATCAAAGTTCCACTAGTACAATTCAAGATTTTTCTGGAATGCATTGGCTGTTTGGTGTCCATGAGGATGGGTCATGAATCAACCGAACGTGGAAATCGTTATAGGCGCCCAACAAGACGTAGACTATAATCCTAAGCCTAGGTATGTTTTCCAACTAATCTAATGTTATTGGTTTGGTTGGATAGTTGGTCATACTGTAGAATGCTTTAGGAGCAGTGTCTAGATTTTGTATCATATATGGGCAATATAATAGTTGCCTTTCTAGAAGAGGGTATTTTTCTCTTCTGCCTACCTAGGGGTGGCCTTGTTGGCTAAGGTGTGCAATCTTTTGGTCTTCGACCAAAAGATACTTTGTTGCTACCCTTCACCTTCACCTTTACCTTGGCATGATCTAGGTTGTTGCTAACCTTTTGGTCAAAGACTAATAGATTAAAGTGCTTGTTCTATTCTCTATGTTAGAAACACCACAAGCTTGGTGACCAATCAAATTAGGCTGACCTATGGAGAGGACTATGTATATATATACACGTACATATACAAAGTGTAGCAGCCAGGACTATTATGTTATGGAGTCTGTGCTTATTTATAGCTTATTCGATGGTTATATATAGTAGATAATTATATCGGGTGAAATTACATATAATAAATTGAACCATATACATACCTCTTAGGCAATGCTTTGAATATGTACTTTTTGCATTCTCTGTATTCTCTATTACTGTACATATCTGAAATCATTAATATAAACTATTAGCCAATATTTCTCATTGCATTTTTCTCTCCTATTTTTTGTGTTCATCTAGATCGAATGTGTAAGTTGTTGTGCGATCCTAACTATTGGTATCGGAGCTAGGCGAAATTTACCACGATTTGTGAAGATGGAAAATTCAAAGATTGAAATTGAGAAATATGATGGATTCGATTTAATTTCTAGAAGATGCAAATTGAAGATTTTGTATTAGAAAGATCTTCACGAACCCCTATTGGGAGTGAAGTCGGATATCATGACCACAGAGCAGCAGAAACTCAAGGATCGACATGCCTTAGGGTTGATTCGGTTGACGTTAAAAAGTGTGGCGTTTAACATTATTAAAGACAAGAAGAAGATAACGTCAGATTTATTGAAGGTGCTATTGAATATGTAAAAAAATTGTCGACTATAAACCAGATGTATTTGATGCGAGGATTGTTCAATCTACAGATGTCTGAAGTTCGATCTATTGTTGATTATATAAATGAATACAATATGATTGCAATTTAATTGAGTTTGGTGGAAATTAATTTCGAAGGTGAAATTAAAACATTGATTTTGATGTCATCTTTACCTGAGTTGTGGATACTGCTACTGCCACGATCAACAGTTTCTGAGGATCTAGCTTTCATTTGGTAGTGTTATTAGCGAAAATATTCACAGATGAGAAATTGGGTATTCATTTGGTAGTGTTATTAGTGTTGACCAAAGAAGAATAAGTAAATCAAAAGACGCAAACAAAGATGGATGAAAATAAAAAAACCATGGAGTTATGGAGAAAAAAATCTCTTTCGAGCAGATTGTACAAGACTAAAAAGGAAGTAGAATCATAAATCAGAGGATGCTGATGATTTTATAAATTCAGCCGAAGCCATTGGGGATGCTTTAATCCTCTGCGTCGATAGTCTGATTGAATCTTGGATTTTGGATTCAGGTGCATCTTTTCATTCATCTTCAAATAAAGAACTATTCAAATTTGGAAATTTCAAGAATGCGACAACAAAGTCTTGGAGATTAAAGGACATAGATCTGCACAAAAATTTCTGCAAGAAATCAATGGACATTAAAGGATTTCATATACATTCTTGGTCTCAAGAACTTGATCTTTATTTGTCAGTTAGGTAACTCAGATTATGCAATAAAGTTTGGGAAGAATTCGTGGAATATTGTGAAGGGTGTTATGGTGGTAGCATGTGGCACAAAATCTGGAACCTTGTATACCACTGCTGGGTGTATAAACATAGTTATTGTTACTGAGAGTGCTTCAAATTTATGTCTGTGGCACAATAGACTTGAACATATGAGCGTTAAAGGAAGGAAGACGTTGATTGCAAAATGAGTTTTAAAAGGCCTGAAATCTGTTGATATGGTTATTGTGAGAGTTGCGTTATAGACAAACAAAAACGAGTTAGCGTCACGAAGGTTGCTAGACAATTGAAGAAAGTGTGGTTGGAAATGGTCCATATAGACGATTGGGGACCATCTTCCGTTCCATCACTTGACAAATCAAAGTTCTACGTCACCTTCATAGATTATTTCAACAGGAAGGTGTGGATCTATTTCTTGAAACACAAGTCAGATGTGTTTGCCACCTTTAAGAAGTGGAAAGTTGAAGTTGAAAATTAGATCGGCTTTAACGTCAAATGACTGAGGTTTGACAATAGAGGAGAGTACGACAATTCCTGGTAAAAGAATTAGATTAACGAAGATAGTTTCCGATAAAGAAAGAAAAAATGGTGTTGCTAAAAGGATGAATAGAACATTGAATGAGCGAGCAAGGAACATGAGGATTTATTCTGGATTGCCAAAGACATTCTAGGTCAATGCTGTAAATACAGCCGTCTACTTGATCAACAGAGGGCTGTGAGTACCCTTGGAGTTCAAATTGTCAGAAGAAGTATGGACAGGAAAAAAAACTCAAGTACTTTCACTTTAGAACTTTTATTCTGACTTTAGAACTTTTGGTTGCATTGCGTATCTTCATGTTGATCCAGAGAAGAGTGACAAGTTTGACACTAAGGTTGTGAAGTGTTACTTCATAGGCTATGATTCTGACATGTTCAGGTATAGGTTTTGGGATGACAAGAACAGAAAAATCTAAAACATTGTGACGTGACTTTCGATGAAAATATCTTGTACAAGGAAAAAAAGAAAAAAGGTTTTGGGAGACCGAAACATGTGGGAGTTGAGGTTGAGGTACATAAAAATTTATGTAGTGATGTTGTAGCAAATACTCAACAAACTTTCGAGACTGTTTCTAAAGAACCAGGGGTGGAGTAAGTGACACCTAAGCAGGTGTTGAGAAGATCATCCAAAACTATTAGGGTACCAGTTAGGTATGCACCTTCATTATACTATCTGTTATTGACTGATGAAGAGCCCTTTGATGATGCCCTACAGTTCGATGATACAACTAGGTGAGAGTAAGCCATGGATGATGGGATGAGTTGGATATCTAGTTTTCAGAATCGTGTTGCTCCTTCATCTATTGAGGTTGAGTATGTACCAATAACTAAAGCTAGAAAGAAGATGATATGAATGTCAGACTATCTTAGAAGAATTAGGCAAGAAGCAATGCGAGAAGGTTCTTCATGCAGATAGTCTGAGTGTCATACAGTTGGTGAAGGACTCAGACTATCAAAGACAAAGCACATCAGAAGATGATACCATTTCACTTGTAGGTTAGTAGAAGATGATGATGTGTTTGGAGAAGATATAGGGTGTAAAGAATTCAGCAAACATGAAGACAAAATGTGTTGATGTTGGAAAATTGAGGTTGTGCAAAACCTCAATTGGTATGGTGCAGTGAAGATGTTGATGGTCGTTTGAGAATGAAATTCTTAGTTGACTGAATCAGTCTCCAAATCTCCACGTGAGAGAATTGTTAAGTTATGGAATCTGTTGCTTATTTATAGTTTATTCAATTGTCATACGTAATAAAGTCATATATGAAAAATGGTCATATACGACTATTTAAAGTAAAAAACTGGTACAACTATATATAATAGATAGTTATATATAGTAGATAGTTATATTTGATAAAACTATATATATAATATACTAAATCATATACATACCTCTGAGGTAGTGCTTATGTACTTCTTGCATTATCTGTATTCTCTTTTATTGTAAGTACCTGAAGTCATCCATATAAACTTTTAGTCAATATTTGTTTTTGCATTTTCTCTTCTATTCTTTGTGTTCATCCAGATCGAGTGTGTGCGTTGTTGTGCGATCCTAACAATGACAATTGCTATCATAGAAAGGAAGTACATGTGGAAGGTCAACATTTTGTTAGGTTTTAGGGGAGGATTTGTTGGCATGATTATCCTTGGATTAAGGTCGAGTTTAAGCTTCGATTATAGGAGAACGTCAAGGAAGGAGTATATGTAACTCACCCCAAAAATGAGACTAAGGTTGGACCTTCAACAAGATATAAATGAGATTTGTGAAAGGGAAGAGGTTATTAAAGCTCAAAGGAGCAAGGGCAACATATCTCAAGGATTGAATCAAATAAAAAAAAAAAAAAAATTAGATTGAGATATGTTGGAGAGCAAACCGAAGATAATCACATGTGGGAACCCATAGCCATGTTTTTTTGAAATTTAAATTGGTCTCAATAGGTTAGTGGTGAGTAGATCTATCGTTTTCTGAAATTGAGAAGATATAACTATTGTAGTAGGAAAAATCGAGCTTGGGACATAATGAGTATTTCCAAAAAGTTATGGAAATTCGAAGCAGGCTTGAGGTTGAAGATGCATGAGGCGCGTGGGGTGCGAGTAGCTAAGGGGTTCAGCGTGTGGAAGGCCTGTGTTGATTGGACCATAATAACCTTGAAATTATTAAATATATTGTAATTAGAAGGAATTATGACATAATTGTCGTATTAGGAGCAATTATGGTGGAAAAAGGAGGTAGCGATACAAGTAAATAGCATATTGAATCTCCTAAAAACAAGTTTAACTTGTTATTGATGCTAGATATGTTAGAGCATGTCATTAAGAGCTTAGTTACAGTAAGACATGTGAATAACATGACTTAAATCGATATACTCACGAGGGCATGCATCGAATATGAGCATGTTATAAATTCATGATTCATAGGTATGTTATAGCACTCTTGCTTATTCTTATGAGACTATCATAATGTATTATTGTATGACATATTATGATAGTACGATGTAGGAACCGTTAGGTTTCAAGAAATGAACTCCAATACTGATTAGGCCTCATGTACACCTATAGTGGGATGGATGGTAGGATGGGTAGACATGTAGCTCAATCAGTCTATTAAATCCACACTCAATCAGTCTATTAAATCCTGTGGAAACCCTGATTGACCCATTGTGTACCAAGTTAGGGACAATGAATATTCCTAACCGGTGGGTTGAATATTATTTCTTGTTGCCTGAGTGTTTCATAGACAGGTCATATTTGATTGAGAGCAAGTCTTACATACGAATCTCAAATTCATAATAGGCATAAATTGAGAAAATAGGTAAAGATTAGTTACAGGGCGTGTCGCCAAGTAGTTAGTCTACTAAACCCTGCAGAATTCCTAATCGATGTGGTGAGTGCTATGTTAGGAGCATGAGTATTCTTGATCGTTGGCCTGTGTGTTATTTCAGACTGCCAAAATGTTTATTAGACGGATCGTATTTGATCAAAAGTGCTAGAATGTTTAGTATTTGATCGAGAGCACTATAAAATTTTCCATAATGTTTAGGGTATTACATTCGAAATTTATAATGAGTATAAATAAAACATATAAATAAAACAAATAAGTAAAGAGTAGTTAGAACACTCAAATCTACCTTCCTAAAACCCAAAACTTTATACTTGTGGAAGGACGCAATCACTAGTGGCAATTTAGAATGTGATATGAGTAGAGAACTTGAGCTAGTATCAATAGAGGGCGATTCATATTTATACAATGGATCAAGGACTCAGTCCATATTGAAACCTTTAGACGGAAGGTAAATTATAAAACTTAAATATATTTAAAAGATAGTTACTTACTTATTAAGTAAATTAATTACTCACAAAAATTATTTTATATTTTCTTTTCAGATAGATGGAATGCAATGTGATCAAGACGTTGGGACGAACGAGCTGGAGACTTTAATGATCCTATCTAGATTCGAGTCTGTTTTATTATATCTACTTCTGAAATTGGAGGTTCATAGTTGTTTATAATTGTGTGTGACGTATTGGTCTTTACTGTAAATATATAAATTATAGTTGATTTTCTTTTGAAATCATATTAAAATATGAAAGGTTTTCAATAAAATCAAGTCTGTGAATCAGATTCCAGTGAGTGAGTATTACACTTGGGCATTTGGGTAAGCTAGTGCAGCAATTATGCAGTCATGGGCTGCCATATGTTGCACTGTTAGTAGGAGGGCAATAAGCCTGTTGTGAATAAGTCCTTTGAATCCGGTTCCCCGACACTTGTTTTAGGTCAACAAAAAAGTCGGTTGTTCAAATTTGGAACTTACGAATAATTTTAATGTAGTCTTTAATCTCAAATCACGTTTGGAGAGAATTGTTTTATAAGACGTGAGAGAGAATAAGAATTGATAAGAAAGCATTGTGTCAATTGCATGGAAAACATATGGACAAAATAGCTTACATCACTTAGTTGCGGGAGGTTTGATGACTAATTGTCCCCGTTATTTATTCTGAAGCATTTAATGTTTGGTAGAAGTAGATTAGATTTTGGACCAAATGTCATCCACTCAAATTTTAATAATAAAATAATACAATATAATATAAGATGAAAGGGTTAGGCATAACATGGGATGTGACCACGGAAACTCGCCTTGAACAAGCATGATTATGATACCACACATGTATTGACGGTTGGTTGTGGGCTTAGCCTCATCTTGTTTTTGTGAACATGTGGGACTATTCATTGTTGACGGCTCGTCTTCCTCAGAAGATAATTTATGGGTCATGATTGTCTCTATTATCACATCAAGAGTTGACATGGTTAAGAATGATATCGTCAAGAATAAACATAGATAAAATGATTATTTGAGAGAAGGGTTGAAATTTCTTCAATAAAATGTAGATTATACCTTTGAATCGAGACTTTGGCACAAAATAAAATAAAAAAAAAAAAAAAAAAAAAAAAAAA